AAGCACGGTAGGCTGGGCTGGAACGGGGCCCGGGGGACATCACTCGGGAGAGGGGACACAGGTCGGGGACCTTTTGGGGGCCAGGAGCCGCTCTCCTCTGTGCCCAGGGGATGCAGGAAGGTGGATGGGGCTGCTGCTCCTGGAGGTGACATCCTGCTTTGTCCCCCAGCCCAGCTCTGCCAGCTGTGGATGCTGGGGATGGCCCGTCGTAATGCCCATGCCCTGCTTGACTACTCGGTCACTGCTGACCCCCGCATGCTGCTGGCGGTCCAGAGGCACCTGGCTGCATCACAGGATGAGAACGGAGACACGTGAGTGCATCAGGGTTCAGGGGGCAGAGCAAGGAAGCCTTGTTGGCCGTCGTGGGGACTTGGGGCAGGGTGGGATGTGACGGGGGAGACGTGGAGCTGAGCCAGGGGCCATTGCCACTCTGTCTGCAGGCCTTTGCACCTCGCTGTTATCCATGAGCAGACGGCTGTGATCAAGCAGCTGATTGAGGTTGTTGTTAGCATCCCCAGCCAGCAGATCATCAACATCTCCAACAACCTGCAGCAGGTACATATTTTCCAGGACAGCCAGTTTTCTTCTGCCTGGGGTTTGCTCCAGTTTCCCAACCCTGGGGCTCCCGTTGCTGCTCCCAGGGCAGGGAGCCTGCAGGGCTGAGCACGGTGGGGCCACGCTGGCAAGGACAGTGGTGCAGGCCTCAGCTCTTCCTGCGAGCACTGCTGATGGGGTGCTGCTGTCCCACAGACACCGCTGCATCTGGCAGTCATCACCAAGCAGCCCCAAGTGGTCCAGCTCCTGCTGCAAGCCCGCGCTGACCCCACCTTGCTGGACCGCTACGGGAATTCCCTGCTACACCTGGCGCTCCAGGCTGGTGATGAAGAGATGCTGAGGACACTGCTGGCCCACCTGGGCTCAGCTACTCCATACCTGCTCCACTTGCCCAGTTTCCATGGTGAGTGGGGCTGGGAGACGATGAGCAGGAGCCCAGCAATGCTATCATGGGCTCAGACGGAGGGCTGCTGAGCCTCTGGTCTTGTTGCAGGCCTCCTGCCCGTTCATTTGGCTGTGAAGGCAAAGAGTTTGGCCTGCCTGGACCTGCTGGTCAGGAAGGGAGCAGACGTGAACGCAGTGGAGAGGCAGGGCGGGAGGACCCCGCTGCACCTGGCTGTGGAGATGGAGAACCTGAACATGGCCACCCACCTGGTGAAGAAGGTATGGGGGGATGATGTGTTGGTGGCTGTGGGATGGGGTGCAGCCTCCCCCAGGGTCCTGGAGGTGGTGGGAGTCCACTGTCGTGTTGGGGTGACCAGGGGCCAGGAGGGCAGCAGTGCCCAGGCAGCCCATTCTTACAGCCTCATGCCTTTCTCCATAGCTGGGAGCAGATGTCAACAGGCGGACCTTTGCGGGGAACACGCCCCTGCATCTGGCTGCAGGCCTGGGCTCCCCCACCCTCACCAAACTGCTCCTCAAATCTGGTAAGGCACTGTCCTCCCTGCCCTCCCCACAGCCCCAGCT